GGGGATGGGGGGGCTCAATATCAGATGGAGGGGATTATATGATCGGACGCATAACTTCGTCCCATCCTTCTTACTGCTCCCACCTGCATTTTGTTCAAGCGCGCTGCGCGTTTGGTGGTGCACATCACTGCGCAGCGATGCGACCACGCAGCATCCCGGGATCTGTGGCTCTTATCTGTTCGCCAGCGCCTGCAGATTGAACATTTGCAGCATCAAATGCTTTTGCCATGCTTTGCGCACGAGTCCTAGGCCCCCAACAAAGTACCCCCTTTTTGCATCTCGGCCTCGTAACGACTGCCGGGTACTTGAAACAGGTACCCCCTAGTTTCGGAAGCCCCCACAGAATAAGTTTCCTTCGCTTATGGCCGTTCTGGCTTTGCCTCTGTTGAGGTGTGACGTCTCTGGGCGCAGGCAAACTGTGCCAACAAACCCTCTGGGCCCAGTCTGCCGGATATCTGCCAGCGGCAGCACCGAGTATGCGCATTGAAAAAATCGGAAACAATCTTGTCCGCGACATAGGAGTAGATCTGAGATTAGGGTTTACTAACTTCTGACAAAGGGCAACATGCATGTGGCAGCAAACAGCTGCTAGACTTCGAAAAACACTGCGCTAAGCGAGGATCTTGATCCATCAGGCTTGCGGCAGTTGTTGTCCCTCCTTGTGGCAGGGCCACGTCATCTCGGATCAGGACGTATTAAACCCACAGAACCCCCCAACCCAAATTAATCACAGAACCCTGATGCCATGCAACTCCAGACCGACATAGACCGGCAACCTTTAACCCAATACTTCTGAGTTCGAGCTGTGTCTACCGATGAGGATTGCTATTGGCCCGCCGCCACTGGGAAATGGGTACATCTCAAACGGCAGCTGCGACCTTTGACCTAATACATCTTGCACTCTCCACCTGCATCATTAAGGTAGCACAGCGCCAGGTGAAATGTACTCCATGGAAGAAACTAGCAGAGCAGATGTAGCAGAGCGCTTCTGCGGCGATGTTGCTCCACATAAAACGGGCCTTAAAAGTTAGCCAAGCGATGTGCAGCCATTCGTGGCAAGTTTGCCTCAAGGGACACCCAATTCGAGTGCCCAGGCTAAGAAGTCCCTCCAGCCGGACTCTTGCTCAACACTCAGTCGCCCCACCTTATCCAGGGAGGTCGGGTAGCAAACCATGAGCTGCAGTTTGGCATCTTTCGCACTATTGCGGCCACCGCCACAAGTCTCAAGGTTCTCGATGTGGAAACAAGACGTACGTGTGAGATCACGCAGGCCCACACAAGCAAAAGACACAAAACGTCCTCCCATGATCCAACCTCAAAACGCAAGCCTAAGACCTTCCAAAACGAACAACCACCTTCGGTGCATCTCATCCCAGGCCCTAAGACCCTAAGGGCCTGAGGCCTCAGGGCCTGAGGCCTTTAGCACCCTAGGTTTTAAGGATCTAAGGCCCTAAAGGCCCCAAGACCCTAACCAGCTCAACTGCACCAGCGATGGGATGCGCCGGAGCTAGGGCTCGAAAGCAAAGGAAAAACTGAGGTGGTCACCCACCTCGGCCGCCAGGAATTCGGCGACCACCTCGAATGCCTGGCTCAAGGGGCACCATTAGGGTTTGGGGTCTGGAGTTCGGGTCTGGGTTTTAGGGCTCAGGGTTTGGGGTTTTAGGGTGCCTTGAGGGGGTTTCAGAAGTGCACATAAGCATGGACTGCAGGCCAGGGTGTTTGTAGCAAATGTGTTTTGCATCCCGAAAAACACGTTTGAAACCCAAGCCCGAAACCCTAATCTATCTTCAGCCTGATTCTTCTGTCAACATGGCCGTACCGTGCCTTTTTGGGGCCCCGTGAAGGTGCGGCGCCTACTATCCTAAGGTAGCCTCCCCCATATGGACCACAATCAGAACCAAACTTGCGGTTGAAACAATGAGATTCTGACATTTTCTGGTGGCTTAGGGCCTCTGACTCTTAGCCTCACTATGGGCTCTCCTTCGTTGCCACACGCCAAGCAGACCAGCCACACAGCAGGGAAACGATGCCGAAAGAAAAAGGGGGCCTTTAGAAACAATTGATGGGGTCGGGTCAATCGATGACTCCTCCTACCAGGGTTTAGGGTAGACCCTAAGAGCCCCGAACCTTTGATTAATTCCCCTTACCAACAATAATCTACGAGGAGGTCGGTTGTCGTTATGTTATGGCAGGGCTCAAGCCCCCCAAAGCCAACCGTTCGCTCCTAAGCCCATTTAGGGTTTTGTAGTCTTCCTAAACCCTAAACCCTAAACTTGTAGGTTGTGCACCACCAATGCTACCAACCCTCTTCTTCCTCCTAGTCATCATCATCCTCCCCAGAGTGGCCGTCTGAAGCACGGTGGGTTGGAGGTTGGTTTTAGGTTTAGGGTTTAGGGTTTCGGGTTTAGGGCCCAAGGCCAACTGAACAGATCTACAGCGCGCTGCTCCCAGGCCTTGGCAATGCCTGTGGCATCTTTGTCCCCGAGGTGGACACCCTGGCCTGCCACACAACAAACCTACTACAGAAGAACTTCCTCAAGGTCATCCGGCCCAGGGGGTAGGGTGTATAACGCTTAGGCAGTAGCTGCATTGAATATAGCTCAAACACCAAGCGTACACGAACCCAGGTTTCTGTGAATTGTGAAAGCTTGCACACCTCCACTTTTCACGGTGCACCTGTGGGGGTCAGGGACCCCAAGGCCGTCCTTTACCTTCAGCAACCCCCGACTATGAGCACCAACAAACAAGGCCCGAACTACCCCTTATGTTGCATAGTCGGATGCCAGCCACCTTCGCCAAAGCAAACCCACGCCCTCATAGACCCGACACCTCGCGCCACCCACCTTCACAAAAGCAAACAAAGAAATCTTGGGGACTTAATAGATAGAAGTCGAAATCATGATCGTCGGAAGGATCTGCATGGAGAATCACACGACTTCGCATGGCATCGCGCCCTTTTGCCCTGGAATGGCTCATGTTGCAAGAGTCTTTATCTGTCGTGCACAGTACGAGTATGCACACAAGTACAGCCTAGCTTAGGCTGGGAAGGTCTTCTTCGAAACCCAATTAATATGCAATCTCTGCCTCGAGGCTCGAAAGGCAACAACGGCAAAACCAAGACTCAACAAAAGCAACACGTAGTCGGACAGCACCTGCAGGCGCATTTACTTCTTAACTCGGGTTGTCTATGCTTAGATCTTCTAGTTGCTGCTCTGCCGTCTTTCAAAGGCCTTTCACACCTCACACTGTACGAGGCCGAGAAATGTGAATTTCGAGAGGGTGGACGATTCTCCATTCCCCTGTTTGTGCTAGATCGCGCAAAGCGTCTCTTCTGATGACTCCCTTGTTCAGTCCATCGGCGACCATGTCGCGTGTGTCACACCATCCAATGGCATGAATGACGGACCCCAGAAACTCTCGCAACTTCAAGAGATGCAGAAATACAGATTGATCTGTACACTTGGGCTCTTCGCCAATCGCACCGCTCACTACTGATTTGGCATCCAACATGAGATATAGCTTCAGTGCGTTTCTGCCTGTGTCCTGGAGCTGCACCAGTTCCGAAGCAGATTTCACACCCGTTAAGATCTCTGTCATAGCCGAATTTATGATTGATGCCAGACCCATAAGATCAAGGGCTGAATGTAGTTCTGCAGCATACGTTGATCTGCAGACTTTCGATTGTTTCTTAGACACACATTCTAAAACCTGCATCTGATTAATGCCGGTCTCAGGACCGTTGCGGCTCACAAGTGCAATAATGCCGCTTCGTGCGGCTGTGTGTTCTTGATCTTCACCCTTGAAGCTCGAATCTGCGACGGCTACTATGGCCCAAGGTCCTTCTAGCTTCTTGTACACCATGTCCAGGGGACGCACTTTGATGTACTTCAAGACTCGATTAAGGTTTAACACATCCAAAACCCTAGGTGACTTCATTTTTCTCTGAAGGGCAGATACAAAAACCGCTATATCTGGTCTGGTCTGCACGACCCAAGAAACTCCGCCAAGAAGCGAACGAAACTTATTATGGATCTCTTCGGAAACGATAGACTGCGGGTCTTGAAGTTTTAAATCCTGATCGGCAATCGGCTTTAGTTCTGCGACGTAATGTTGTTGGGAAAGCCGACGTGAACCATCGGCTTCAAGAGAATGCCTAAGGCCCAAATGCTCAAAATTATCCTTTTCCAATTTTAACTGATCAAAGTGATGCTCCAGTATCTTGAGCGCACGCTGCACTTGCGCATCCAACCCACTGATCTTGAGATCATCTACGTGAACACTTAAAATCAAAACCAATGCGTTTTTCTCATCATGTTTTACGAACAGCTGCTCGTCGGCTCTGACCGACTGCAGCCCTATCTCAGTCAGCACTCTGCGCAGCGCTTTTCCCCAGAGTCTGGGGGCATCACGAAGACCAAATCCCGGCTTACACATGTCCAAGCACTCAACCTGAGGATCGAAGTCAGACATCCCAGGAAGGGTGCGTAGAAGTTCAAGAGTCCCTGGTGGCAAATCCAGTTGCACCTGTCTCAAAACAGCATCCTCGCCCGAATCATAAAGCTCTTTAAAGCTTAAACCCCGAAGAAAAGCTTCTGACACATCCGCCGAATAGATGCTCCATGACATCTGCACGGCCACGGCGATGACAATGCGTTGGCCCCAACGAGTGGTTGTGGCCGCATAACTGCTGACGGATTGAGTATCCTTGAACCCTTGAACAACCATCCTAGACTTAATTTGTTTAGTGCCCTGAATCTGTTTCCATTTAAGAACCCAACGACTGGACAAGATATTTGTGCACTGGGAACGCGGAGTGCGAACCCAGGCCTTGTGACTGTGCCAACGTGCAAGCTCCTTCAGCATAGAGGCTCGGCACTCATCTGCATTTGCCAGCGCTTCCTGGCGGGATAGAATGTTGTGGGTTCTTTCGATTACGCAGTCTTCTGTGCCACTGTTAAAGATTAACAGCTCCCCTTTTTCAACCTTAGTCTTAAGACCCACCAAGTATCTACTACTTATGTCAGTAAAAGCAATTTCAGGCTTTGATTCTTCTAGTTCGGCAGGATCAAGAACGAAGGCATCTTCGTAAGCTTCATCGCTCAAAACCACTGGAGGGTGACAAACGTATCGAGCAAACATGCTCTCCACGCTGTCCGCCTGCTCAACCGCATCCTGATCTTCACTGACTGGAGGCGTGTGTATGTCAAAATGTTCAGTGTTTCTTTGAGGCTGAAATGGTGGGGCATCTTCTATCGTCAGTTGGCGCTGACGTTGCCTGACATGCACCTGTTCAGTGACGTCCTGCAACCTGGGCAGCGCCGGATCAAAAGGGCCCCCCACATTTGGAATGTCATGCACGACTTGGCGCAACGAAGCAACAGTTTCTGAGTCTGCGCAGAAGTACTGGACAAATGCTGCATCAGAGAGGCCTGTGATCCTTTGCATGTTTAAGTGCTGATTGCCCGGCAGATATGCATGAAACCACACTGACACATTTCCTGGACGCCACCAGAGCAAGAAGGAATCATCGCAAGCCACAGCTGCAAGCGATGTTGCTGCTGAACCCAGCCTGAAAGATACTACGCCAGTGAGATTCAGCGCGCAAGAACCCACGTGGAGACCGGCCAGTAAAACCCTAGGGAAACGCTGATTAGCTTCACACGCTATCCACGAATCCTTCGACTTAAACCAACCCAACCGTACTACGTCTCCGCGAAGATCCTCGGCAGCTTCGCACAGATATGCAACAGGTGAGTGCGATGGAAGTTTTGACAGAAAGCACCAGAAAAGAAGAGCCCGCCTGACATCCTGGGTACGGCAAATCATCAACCTGCCTTGCCACTTAATACCGATCTGCCCGTCAAGGATTGACGTCAAATCGGTCACCGTTGCAGGGCCGAACCAGGAGTGAGCGTCTTTAGTAGTGGCTCTACGGAAAAACTCTACTGCATCCCCCACCTTCAGATCAAGAAGCTCGCCCGGCATCCGAGATTTGCCTCGGTCCGCGCGACGCAGTTTATTCTCCGCCGTGGCCTGAACAATAGTATTTATGGCCAACTGACGGACCCGATCGCAATCTCGATCGTCAGGGGAATCACCGGATTCAGCGTTTACTACCCCCAACAAAGGTGGTGTTCTCCCGAAAACGGCTTCGAAAGGTGAGGCACCACCCACGGAAAACAAAGCGTTTTTGGCAAAAACCGCTTCTCCTAATAAGGACTCAAAAGAAACACGCAATCCCTCAGCCGTCGCCTGTTCGTCAAGAACATGAAGCTGTCGCCTCAATATTGCGTGGTGACGCTCAACTGTGGTTGCGTGCTGTTCTTTGGCCAAGAGGTGGAGCTTGATGCCCCTAGCTTCGAGTAATGCCGCCGCTTCAGGAGATGACAAAGCCCCTTCTTGGTCGGACGTAAGCTGATTGGGCGGCCCAAAAAGGGCGACCCAGTGGCTCATGATACCTTCAATTATGCAATCAAGATGTTTAGACTCTACCTTACGGGCTACAGTAAAACGCGTAGTGCGATCGATCATGTGTAGCACGACTTTATCTTTGTAAAACAGAAGGTCTGTTTGTACCTCTTGATTGAAACGCGTCGTGACCGTCGAGCTAGTTACTGCTCGCGGCCCGGGTCTCGACCAATTGCGGCATATGTCACAAGTGTCAACAATTTGTTGCACCAAAACCATGATGTCTTGCGGTACACCCGCCGCCGTTAGAAGGGTTTTCATTTTCTGCGCCGATGCATGGAACCATCTGACGTGCAACTTACGCAATGCTCGACGCACAACCCCTTCACGCAGGGATCTGAGGTCAATTAAGGCACGGCCAAGATCGAACGCAGTCCAACGTTCGGCATCGTCTTCCTCTGCACCTGCTGCTTCAACAGGTCTTGCCTCGCGCGGCGCGGCAGTTGCGGGTCTCATAGGTTCATCGGGACCTGCTGCGACACCTACACCACCTTCTGAGACTTGCGCTGCAGCGTCTCTCCGATGCACAACAGGTGTTGCCGAACTCGCCCTTGCACGCCTTCTACGCAACGCTTCAGCATCTTCGGCGTGGACTTCACGGCTGCCAACTGATCTCAGAGAAGGTTCACCCAGAGCAGACGTCGGCTCGGCCGCTGCTGGGACTCTAACGTCCCGAGGGTGTCCTCCCTTGCGTTCTCGCCCCAACCCTTCAGGCATGGTGCGTGCCACATTCCATTGGCAGTTTTCGCTTAAGGAGTGGGTTGCATCACTCCTTGGCCTATTCTTAATGCACCCTGGACACGACCATGTTGAAGGAGTAACGTCTGGAAACTTGCAGTGCTCGGACCTGTCATGGGAAGGATGGTCCATTCGCTTATGCCAACGACAACCTGGACATTTGCTCTTTGCGTCGGCCGCATACACATTGGCATTGAAAGCATCGATCCCACAAGTGAGGCATTCTACTATCCCTCGGGCAAGAAGATCACACATGGCAGCAGGCCACACTTGCATATCCCGGCTCTTTGCAAT